TTTCATGAGTATAGTAATCAATACTAATTTAAAATTTAAAATTTTTTTTTAAATTTTAAAAAATAAATGAACGTTTAGATTATTTATGAGGTAATATGAATATATGATATTGATATCCCCATAATCATGCCTTTTCTATTCCTTTTTCCTATTTTCAGCGTTCCTTTCCCTATTTTCAAGTTTTTTTTATTTATAATATTAGTTTCTATAATCTAATAAAAATTTATATTATTTTGTCTCTTAAGAAACCAAAATTTATGATTTGAAACTTAAAAAATTAAAACCAAAATAAAGATGAACCTGAAAAATTAAATATTATACTAACCCAAAATTTAATTAAGAAAACATATTAAAACGTGTTTCTCCCTCCTAATAATAATACTACTACTGCTAGGAACCGCACGGTGTCTGGACCAGATTGCGGGGGTGTTTGGATGAGGCAAAACCATGGTTTGCAGAATAGCTTCTGGAGAATAGATTCTGGAGAGAATAGATTTTGAAAGAATAGATTTTCTGAAAAAGTGATTCTGATAAAGTGAGAGTGTTTGGATAATTATTGTCAGAAGTGCTTTTTGATATGTAAAAATTACTAAAAAGGACATAAGTTTAAATGATAATTACATATAATATATATTTCATAATATATGTTTATTTGAAGTAATAAATTTATTAATAATATATATTTTGGCAACATAATAAATATGGCATAAATAATATAAATAATAAGAAATTAGTGTGTATATATTAATAAAATAAATATGTTTTTAGGAAAATGATTTATTTTGCCAAAAAAAATATTATTTATATTATTTATAAATATAAATAATATTATTTATAAATATAAATAATATAAATAATATTATTTAAATAAGGGATACCTAAGTATCGCCCCCCCTGCGTGTTGTTCCCTCCGTGAGCTGAAGCCCAATAATTGTCCCAGAAGCTATGCCCCGCCTGATTATCTGAAACCAAGGTTTTGTTGGGCAAAACCAAGGTTTTGCCCAAAACCTTGGTTTTAAAAAAAATGGGGGTGTTTGGCAAATTTTTTGCCAAACCATGGTTTGGCAAACCAAACCATGGTTTGGTAAAAAAGCCAAACACCCCCTGCATTGACTCGAACGCTATCTAAACCACAAACTTTGCAACCACCCCTCCCAACTAAAGCTTCAGATCTGCTACTTCTTCTTCATAGTTTCACAAATCTCCTATTTTCTCCCTTCTCATAATTTCTATTGTTTTCTTAGCTTCTTCTTTCATTTCATTATCTCTGCAGTTTCCTTTGTGTTTTCCTTTTTCTCTTGTCTTCTCTCGACCAAAAAAAAAGAAAAATCTTGAATTTACAGCTTTTTGCATTTTTTTTACTAGCACTTCAATTCTCTACTGTTAATGCTATCAGCACTATTAATGGTATCAACCAATGTTTTAAAAGCCGGACCGGAAGTCGAACCGGAAAGATCAACGGGTCATAGTTCAATCGGTCGGATCGGTCGGACCGTTTGGTCAGACCGGTGATGCAATAATTAATTTAAAACAATATTATATACATATAATTAGTATATATGAAAAATATCAAATTATTAAATAATTTAGAAATGCATTTAAATAATCTAAAATTATAATGAAATCATTGAAAATGGACTAAAACCTTATATATTTAAATTTATGTATGTTTAAAATATTTAATGATATTACAAATTATCAATTCATTCAAATCAAAATATTTTTTTAAACGATAGACCAAATATCAAAACAAAAAGACTAGCGATTTACGATTTTAACACCACAATATATGAAATTTTCAATGAAATAATACTCTATGGTTATAAATAGTCTAAAAATATATTAGGATATTTAAGGGGATCAATTTTTTTATTTTTCTTCTATTTTTTTTTTAAATTTTTAGTATTTTTTCAGTCAGGCTAAAAAACCGTCCGGTTTTCTGAAAACCGTTCCGGTTCTCGGTCCAACTCCGGTTTCCGGCTTAATAACGGCTCAACTCCGGTCCAATCTGGCTCAACTATATGAACGGTTTTTTGGTCTAAACCGAGCCGTTAACGAGTCCGGGTCACGGTTCAACCGGTTCGACCGTCCGGTCCGGTCCGGTTCTTAAAACATTGGTATCAACAATACTTTTACCGAGTTTTGTTAATACTTAAACACTTGAAAAAAATCAAAGTAAATAATTAATATGTAAAATATACTCAAATGATTACAACTAAAAAATTAGATTTGATCAAATTATCACCATTCAAATAATTAAATCAATGTAAAATATACAATTTATGGTAACTAGACACAAGGACGGCTGTTATAATTATGTTCCTTATTTCATTCAATATCCCGTACGAACAATGCCTCGCAACGGCAACAAGAACAGCTCCCTCATGTCTCTCCACTGTGAACATTTGAAATAAAAGCCACTTCCTTTGCTTTCCCACTCTCACTGCTCTGACATGTGACGTGTCTCTCCTAAATTTATAATATTTTTTCTTGAGAACCACCAGGAGCATGAACTCCAGAAATCACCGATCATAAAACAGTTTAAAAGAAAAATATGATTTTAAAATAAAGTATACAGGAAGTCTTCTCTCGGTCTTTCCCGAATGATTGGCGGACCACACGCTACTTTTGTCCCTTTTAGACTCCACAAAGCCATTCTTTCCATCACTCTCTCAACAAACCTTTTTTTTTTTGAATTAAAATATAGATATCTTTCTATTAGACAATTCTATTTCGAGGTATTATCATATACTAAATATGAACACTACTCTCAATAAAAATTTAAATTTTGGTTTGTCATGTTATGATGAACTTACCCTTTCAACAAGCCAACTTGAAACAAATGGGTCTAAGCCATTCTTTTCATTTCTCAACAATGAAAACTAATGGAGTCTTCACCCCATGTCTGCGGCAAAAATACTTCTATAAACAAAAATGGTCTTTAACCCTATAAAAAAATTAATAATAGAAGGAAGTTTGTACATAATGCTATAAATTTGCTTTAGCGGATGCTAACATTGTTAATTAGAGTTGGTATAAAAAGTCTCCAAATTATAATGGATAAGATTATTATACGACGGATATGTAACTTGGTGTGATTCACATGAATAGTCTTGTTTGTTTTGATCATCGTCAAATTTATTTTTATAATTTTGTTGTTTCTTGACAAAATTATCTTGAAAATACTTATACTTTCTCGTTTAAATTTTAATTTAATATTTAATATTTTCTCTGAATTAAATATTTAATTTTATTCTGTTAGCATTGTTAATAGTAGTTGACAATGCAAATAGGCAGATTTCAGGAGTTGATCATTCTAATGGAATAAACTTAAATAATTAGATTAAGAAATACATAAATACTAAATTAAAAATTTAAGAAAAGTAAAACTACTTGTAAAAGAGTTTTTTCATTGTTTTTTTGAAGTAAAAAACAACACGAATGCTTCTTAAAATTCTACTTGAAAATATCACAACTTATTTTATTTCTGGTAATTACCAGCGCTTCCACCATAAAGAACGCCCGAAGGGGAACCCCCTTCCTTCAGGAGCACGTCCGATTTCTGTCGGAGTGTCGTTGCCCTTTCGTTACTTAAATAGATGCAGTCTTTAACTTAAGGTTTAATTAATTCATTTAAAAATAATAAAATAAATTATTTTAAAACATTATATTCATTATTTTTTTAAATTAATTTTTCTAAACTCATAGATTGATATACAATTTAATAATACACATAAATATTTTAAAAAGATCATGTAATATATGTTATAATTAAATTTTTTTTTCATAAATAATGCGAAAGCCCATTTTATTGCATATGGTAATTAAGGAATTTTTTAATTTTTAATTTTCTTAAATTAGCTAATTAAGTTAATAATTTAAAAAAGAGTTTCAACACCATTTGGGAAAAAGGACACGCAAATAATTCTCCTAAACCGTACAACGTGTTTTTTCACTCTAATAATAATAATAGTATGAACCGCCCGGTGTTCTGTGTCCTGGCCATTCTGCATTGACTTGACTCCACTTTGTAGTTGCTCTTCCCAGCTAAAGCTTCAGATCTGCGTTTTCTTCTTCTCCGTAGTTTCACAAGTCTCCTACTCTATTTCTCCCTTCTGCAAATTTCTGCTGCTTTCTCAACTTCTTCTTTTATTACTGCTTTCTCAACTTCTTCTTTTACTTGGTGATCTCTGCATTTCCACTTTCTGATTTCCTTTTTACTTACTTTCTGAATTTACTGCTTTTGCAACTTTCGTTGGCTCTTAAATCTTCTTTCATGGTTTCACTGTTCACATCGCTCCTTGCTCATTCTTTTTTTCCTCAACGTCTTTTGGGCATTTTGGGTTTTGCTTGCATTTCCTGTTTCTATTTTCTCTCTGTCTCACCCATATTAAAAGAAATGTTTTTAAGGAAATCCTGAATTTGCTCCTTTTGCATTTTTGTCTGGCTCTTCTTTGTTGTGATCATTTTCAACTTTATTTTTCTGGTTTTGTGATATTTTTTCCAGGAAAAAATTCCCAAAAATATTTTTAAAAAAAAAAAACTGTTTTTTCATCGTATTTCTGATATTTTGTTGTTTAGTTGATATTGTTTTTTCCTGTTTAATTTCACAAGTTCGTCATCTTTCTCTGTAAACTTTCGCATTTTATAGTTGTCTTCTATTGTTGGGAAGCGTTTGTTTCTCAAAATTGTTCAAAACACCATAAAAAGAGAGGTCCCTCTTGCTTGATCTGTGTTGGAACACTGAGGAAAGCTGATTACTATTGGGAGATTGAGGTTTACATGCACTTTGAAATTGCAAAGTTTCACATCGGTCACTACTGTAAGTTTGAAAATACATATCCATGCCAAAGTCAGTCTGTGTTTAATTGATCTGTATTTACTAAGTTCCATTTGGTTTTCAACTCTTGCAGCATATTCTTGTGTTTCTGAATATAGACAGCAACCAACCAAAAGAAGAAGAAACCTGTTCCAACTTCCAACCATATATTGAGGGCAAGTTACTTGTTAAGGTGTGGCTGCCCTAGTTGTACATTATCTCTAAGGATGCCCCCTTGTATTTTTTTTTTTTTGGGGGCTAAAATCCGAGCTTTTTAAGGGAAAAATTAATCCTTTTGTCTCATAATTTTAATTTGATTATTGACTGAACTTTAAGTCTTTAACTATGTATGATTCGATCCATTAAATATTAATTTTATTGAAACTTTGACTAATTGGTTATTCTAGCTTTTACTGTTGGAATCATTAATTAGTCCCTGAGTTTGAAAACACGGAGTTCACATGAATTAGATATTTAAATTTAATATATGAATAAAACAAGTTTGAAATATGTTATGAAATTATAATTTTGAATTAATTTTAAGCAGCATTTTTATTAGAGAGAGATATTTTGGCTTAAAATGTGTAATTTAACAATCAATTAATATTTTGGCATATGAAAATGAAATCTTGAAAATGTAAAGGTGGTTTATTTTGTACAATTTTCAACACATTTTCGCAACGCTTTGTTCTTGCCTTTTCCTTAAAAAAAGTATTTTCGCAATAGCATTCAACAATCTTAAATAAGGTAATTGTATAATTTATATGCTATGTTGTAATTTATTCAATATAAATAATCAAATTAGTGATATTTGTTTAATTCATGTGAATTAATTAATTAGTTTATAAATTTAAAACCAAAAAGAGCAGTAAAGTAACAATTGTTTGGGGGGGGGGGCCACGCGCCTTTTTGTCACTTCAGAGTTAATCTCTATTCTTCATTTTCAACGTTTCGTAACACACGGTATTATGTGTTTTGCCAATGTGATGTGCTTCAAATCAACTTCAAAAAAGTGCCTTTCCTTTAATGCAGCCCTTTTCTTTTAACTAATGTGGGTCTCATTCATCGCTATATGCTACATTGACTCCTCTGTGCACGAGAGCCTTGGCGATCTACTCCTCCCAAAGCCTCATGCCTGCTTCTTCTTCGGCATTTTCTCAGAAATTTTTTTCCCTGAATTTTATTCCTTTTCTTGGCACTTGTCACTAATTTCTGCTATATTTTTGTTGGTTCTCTCTGTCTCCTTTCATAATTACACAGCATTCCTTACTTCTTGTTTCTTGATTTCTCAACTTGTTCTTCAACATTTTTCTGCAATTTTTGTTTTCTGATTTTTGTTTTTCTTTCTCTTTTTCTTATTAAAAAATAAAAGAAAATCATAAGTTTTCTCCTTTTGCATTTTTTGCTGGCACTTTTCCTTTACTGTGGTCATTTTTAACTTTGCTGGTTTTTATGGTTCTTCAAGAAGAAAGAAAACTGCACTTTAAATTTATGTCCTAATTGTTTAATGATAAGCTTGCCTATCACCTTATCTCACCTGCATGGTGACGTGTTCTAGAATTTCAAATATCTATTTGCAGGGGGTGCAAAATTTAGTGATCATGTCTTGATGTTGCATGAATGAAAACAAAAAATACTCTGACTGCAAATAATTTAATATTGTCAATCGTGATCATTTGAATGACCAAACTCTTGCTTTGATTTCCACAGGGCGAAAAAGGAAAGACGGGAAAAAGTGGAAATCAAGTTTTCATCGTCATTAATTCGGAAAAAAAAAAGGTGAGACATTTGTTAAAAGGGTGCCAATATTTCTGCATCAGTTCACAACCCAAGTTTAATTGAGTTTTGGCTATGTTTTTAACAGAGTGCAAATTCAATGGATATCACTTGCGGAACATTGAGTAGTTTGGTTGACAAGTTCCGGGATCTAGTGATCGATCTAACCTGGGAGCAGCTTCGTTATCTGTTTCAGTATCACAGAAACATTGAGGAGCTCAATGAACGACTTGAGGAACTCACCCTTGAAAGAAGCTCCAAACAACAGCAAATAGATAATGCTAAAAAAAATTTAGAACAAATTGAAGAGAAAGTTGAGCATTGGTTGGGCAAAGTAGATGAGATTTTAGAGCAAACACAAATGTTTCATGAAGAAGAGAGTCAAGCAAAAACAGAGTGTAGCGTAACTTCCTGTCCCAACCTGTGGCTACGTTATAAACTAAGCAAAAGAGCAAAGGCAATGGCACAACAAGTTGTTGAAATCTATGGAAAGGGAAACTTTGATAGATTTTCATATCCTATTCCTCCCGCATCGATGCCAGAGGTACTCATCAGAGAAAGCAATGAAGGGATTGGTTCAAGAACGCAAATTGTGAATCAAATTATGGAGCACTTACATAATCCTAGTGTTAGTATTGTTGGATTGTCTGGGCTTGGTGGTGTTGGCAAGACCACTATAGCTAAAGAGGTAGCAAAGAAGGCGAAGAATCAAACCATGTTTGAAAAGGTGATCATGGCAACTGTTTCTGAAGAATTGAACATTGAGAAGATTCAAGGCGAGATTGCAGAGAACCTGGCTTTCCAACTCAATGAAAAATCTGAAGGAGTAAGAGCTCGTCGTCTGTGTGAGAGGTTGAAGCTAGAGAAGAATATGCTCCTAATATTGGATGATCTTTGGGAGGAACTTGATTTGGGCAAAGTTGGAATTCCCTTTGTTGATGTTGGAAGTTATAGCAAAAAGAATGAAGGCTGCAAAATTTTACTAACTTCAAGGAATAAGATGCTGTTGTTAAACCGCATGAAATGTCAAGAAATTATCGAAGTGGATGTTTTGTCAGAGGATGAAGCATTAGAGTTGTTCAAGAGGACTTCTGAACTTCCTATTGACTCAAGCACTCCTGACAACTTGATATCTATAGCCTCTCAGATTGTTCGAAAGTGTCATGGCTTGACATTAGCGATTGCAACAGCTGCCAAGGCATTAAGGGGAAAAAATCTAGGTGAGTGGCAAGAATTCTACAAACGATTGAATCATCCTTTAAGGAGAAACATCACAGGAATTAAAGAGGTGGATGCGATATTGAAGTCGAGTTATGATTGTCTAAGCTCAGAGAAAAAACGTATGTTCTTGCTCTCCGCCATGCTGTCCCATGATCCCTCAATTGAGGACCTGCTCATGTACTCTATGGGGTTAGATATTCTTGACGGCATAGAAAACATAGAAGATGCCCACAGTGGAGTCTCTACTACCGTAGGTGATCTAAAATCATTAAACTTATTTCTTGATAGCTTTTCTAGTCACCGCTTTACAATACATGACGTCTTTCGAGATGTTGTATTATCGATCACACCCAATGAATTAAATGCATTCATTGTGAGGCATAGAAGCTTGAAAGAATGGCCAGACCAAAAAAAGCTCGAAGACTACAAGGGAATTTGCTTACAGAAGAGTGACATCAGTGACCTTCCAGAAGAGCTGCATGGTTCAAGATTAGAATTCTTTCTGCTAGACAGCACCGAACGTGATTTGGCCATACCTAAGATGTTTTTCAAATCATCAAAGGAGCTGAAAGTGTTGGCATTTACCAATGTAAATTTTTCATCACTACCATCGCTCATGTTCCTGCAAAAACTAAAAACATTGTGTCTCCACTCTTGTTTGCTAGAAGACATAATTGAGGTTAGAAGCTTGAAGAAGTTAAAAGTCCTAAGTCTTGCTTACTCTGAAATTCAACAACTACCTATTGAATTGGCAGATTTAACTTCTTTAGAAATGTTGAATTTAGCCCACTGCTCCAAGCTCAAAGTGATTCCACCAAAACTGCTATCTAGCTTCAAAAAATTGGGGGTTTTGCTTATGGCAAATAGCTTTCACCAGTGGAAAGTTGAAGGATCTACCGAAGCTAATGAAAACGCGAGTCTTGACGAGTTGAAGGGCTTGCCAATCTGTTCTCTAGATATTCATATTCCTAATGTCTCGATGTTGCCGGAGAATTTGTTCTTAGATATGAATTTGATGAGATACAAAATACTCATTGGGAAGCACTGGAAACGGTGGACGGTCAGCTATAAAACTTCAAACGTATTGAAACTTGAGCTTGAGAGTGATATCTATTTGAAGCCTGGGGTTCGAAAGTTGATGAAAGGAGCTGAAGATTTGTGTTTATATGGATCTAATGGGCTTGAAAATGTTCTACATGGTCATGATGGAAGATCATTTCTGCATTTAAGGCATCTTCAGATTGAAAGTAACGATACTATTGAGTCCATTGTTTGGAACTCAGCACATCATGAAGCAGCAACAAATAACATATCCAATAAAATGTCTGAGTCGCTTTTGAACAAGGTATGTTCAGATTATTTTATTCACATTTTTTCTTATTTTATCTTCCTACAAAACTTAGCTTCAAACTTGTATGCAAAAACCATTTTCACTAGAATTACTTGTTTTGCTGTTAGGCTATTATGGAAGGTTGCAGCTTTCTATTTTTTTAATGACTTAAAATTAGCTAATAAAAGAGAAAAGCTAACTCCAAGTATTAAAATAAATAATGATGCCTCAAATTATTCGTCAGCCTAAAAGCACCTTAATTTGATATTTTTGGAAATTGTCCCTGTCACTAAAAATATCTGAGAATGTGGCTCGTGGTTTTGATGACTAATCATTGTAATTATTCTTATTTTTTTTGTTTTAATTTTCTGACAAAATTTCAAACTTAGTTACCTGCAAAAATTAATTTTTACTAGAATTGTTTACTTTGCTGTCAGGCTATTGTGGCATTTTTCAAGTTTGTTCTTATTTTGTTCTTTTTTTTTATTAACGTATCTGCAAAAATTACATTCACTAGAAGTACTTGCTTTGGTATTAAGCTTGCTAAAATAGCATTTTACAGTTTTTTTTTGATTTTTTTTTGAACTTGGAATTTCAGATTGAACTTTCAGCAATCTCTTTAAAAATTGTGGATGAGAGTTTTATCTAGACATTTAAAAAATCTTTCATGAAAAGTAAGTCTGTGAATTAAAAGTGATTTTCATTTGATCATATTTTCTGTAAACTACAGGTGTTGCTTCCAAAATTAGAGATATTGCGATTATCTAATTCAATCGGTTTGATTCCATTGATATGGGAGGACCAACTTTCACACAACTCATTTAGGAACTTGAAAACATTGTTTGTGAAAAGTTGTGGCTTTGTGAAATTGGTGCCCCTTCGTGTGCTGAAATCTTTAAACAACTTGGAAGAACTAGAAGTTAGGGACTGTGACACGTTGGAGTTGGTTGGTGTTTGATTTTGAAGACTTGAATGATTATAAAGAGGCGGAGTCATCATCAGTGATTGTGCCACTGAAAAAGTTAACGCTTTATAAATTGCGAAAATTGAAGAATGTGTGGAGCAATCACTATAAAGGAGACGTCTCCTTCCCAAGTCTAAGGAGCGTGCATGTTTCCTATTGTGAAAGCCTCACTAGTCTGTTTCCTGCATCTATAGCCAAAGGCATGCTTCGTGATCTTGAAGAGCTTCGAATAAGTGATTGTGGTATAGAGGTGATTGTTGCAAAAGATCAAGTTTCAGAATCTGTTGCTCCTCTGTTAGAGTTTCCCAGGTTGACTCTCCTTGAGCTTTCTTCGCTTAAAAATTTGAGGAATTTCTATCCACAGAGACACACATTAGAATGGCCACATCTTTATCGATTATCTATTAGAAGTTGTGATGAATTGGGATATTTGAAAAGGAAGTCTCAAGTTCATTAGAAATACACGAGGAAGGGAGCTCATTAGACTCAAAATATCCTCTACTGTCCCAATGCAAGGTACATCTCTAAATTAGCTATTCATTGTAAAAGAACAAAAAAATAACGAAACATATTTTTGTTTCACAGTCTAAGAGCACGTTTGAATTTGATATTTTTGAGTACTCAAGTATGTGAATTATTCCTGTTACTAAACCATTTATTAGAATATAATGTAGTTTAGGATTAATTTGGTTATTCACTTAAAAAGCTAAAAAAAAATAATTCATAATAATATTTTAATTAATAATAGATAGATATTAGAATAATTAAATAATTTTCTATTTTCTTTTTAAAAAAGTGGGACTCCAATTCTCGGCTTTCCATCTTCACCGAAAAGAGGTGTGTCATTGAATCAAGGGAGGGGATTTTTTTT